ATATGTGGTGGCATTTAAGTTGTAGATGTCTATGAACTCAGGTAACCATTATTATGAGATGGGCCGGGGGTTTGTCGAGCCCAGCCAATAAAACAAAAAAAACAAAATGTGTGCAATTCACACGTGGTAGAAGTGAAACCTTCCAAAATTAAAATACAATTATCCTAAACGTCTTAAGTATATGTAAAATTTTGTCATTAGTAAATAATTGTAAGGTAGCGCCCTCTGTGAATTGATATTTTAATTTCACGTATAACCCTAAATTAAAATTCACTACAAGAGCTTTCATACACACGTTAGTATTAAAAAATCTCACAGATGGCGCTGTATTAAATAGTATGTATATTTCTGTCTCATTCTTTGCTGGCTTCATCCTACACATTTTTGTATTTGTGTCTCTTACCTGTCGTTTTTTCCGTTGCATCCGGTTTGAAATCACAAAGATTCTAAAGAAGTTTTCACTTAAAAAAATTTTTTTAAGCGTGTAGTGTATAATTTATCGCCCTATACAAAAACACGTTCCAACGAAAACTACGTCAATCGGAATATTCGTAGTGATCCCAACAATTATCTTTATTACATGTCCCTGATTATCTAAACATACAGAAATACAAATATTTATCAACCGTTATTATTGTATATAGCGTCACCGTACAATATTTTTCACTCGTAGAAACTTTTATCTTGTGACGTCTCTCTACGCTTAATAACTCTGTGCGGCAAATCGCACGCTGCTTTGTTTGTCTAATATACGACGCTTACGGGCCGGTCAGTGGCTCTCAAATTATGAATGACTCCTTTTAAGCCAATGACATTTTAGATGAGGAAGTGGCCTTCAATGTAAATAATGTTTGTGCTCTTATTTTCAATAATTTTGGAAACAGAAGCGGCATTGATAAAAACTAATAATGAGTTTTCGTGGATTTGTTAGTAATTTATTTAGATATCACTTACCAATAACCAATTCTAGGGTTGAGGGCATTAAAAATACTTCTGTGTGCTTATTACGAGTTTTTTAACGTTTTCGATATCGTGAAAGTTAACTCAAATTTGTATGGAGTTGGAACGTTTGCCTACGTTTGCCGGTAGGGGCGCTGTTCCAATTGCATACAAATTTGAGTTAACTTTTACTCTATCGAGAAGGCTAAAAAAATTTGCACTAAGCACCCTTGTCGTTTAGAACAGTTGAATAATAATTACTTGTACACGGGTGGGTAATTTTACGATTCCATATTTCCTATAAATGCAGGGAAACACAGTATGAAACCTTTAGAAAAATAACCAATTAGCACAATTACAATAATTAATTAATAAAAATAAAAACCGAGAAATAAAGTCGATTCTCTCCTCCTTATTTTCTTATTTTCTGAGGGACGTATCCGACATGTTTTTTTTATTGAAACACAGTTGACTCGATTGACCTATTTCAGTAAATTATATTTATTTTTGGCATATACACACGTACATACACTTGGCATATACACAAGACTACGGGAATAAATAAATAAAATTTTTGGTGTTCCGTTTGATGCTTAGAGAACATTTCTAAAAGATAGATGAAACGTATTATTGTTAATTAAATTATTGAGAAAATAAATAAAGACTTCGACTAAAAGTAAATATAGGTTTCAAAAAGACTGACTACAAAGTCAACTACATCGGAATGAAAAACAACGTTGATTTTTAACACGCTTTTACTAGCTTGAACACTCCAGGATCTGGTGTATTCGAAACGCTTTCACTGGTGGTAGGACCTCTTGTGAGTCCGCGCGGGTAGGTACCACCACCCGGCCTATTTCTGCCGGGGAGCAGTAATGCGTTTCGGTCTGAAGGGTAGGGCAGCCGTTGTAACTTTACTGAGATCTTAGAACTTATATCTCAAGGTGGGTAGCGCATTTACGTTGTAAATGTCTATGGGCTCCAGAAACCACTTAAAACCAGGTGGGCTGTGAGCTCGTCCAACTATCTAAGCAATAAAAAAAAAGCTTCCAGTTCTGGAAGCACGTCTCATCACGTCACTCATCCCACTGAGTTTCTCGCCGGATCTTCTGAGTTTCTCGCCAGATCTTCTCAGTGGCTTAGTATTCCGATCCGGTGGTAGATTCTTCGATGCACTCCTCATGCTAGGGATAGTGTTAGCAAATTCTCTCAGGTTAAGCACGTAAGCTCACCTACCTGTCCGGACGTAGCTGGTATAGCCTCATAGGCTATCGTCTAATAGGTAGGGAAAAAAAAGAAAGCGCGTCGCTAAAAGGGCAGTCCTCGAAATATTGAGGACCTAATGACCTCTAAGACTCTCTAAGATGAGATAGACTAGCTTGACCTATATGTATGTACTTCTAATGTTTGAACGTAATTTTCACCAGCTTTGTCCTGATATCTTGACTGAGATTATCTCGTGTAGGACTCCGCTTCCAACAGTCAGGAAGTAATACACAGATTGCAGTAGATTACTTAATTCTGTATTGCTTTATTTGTAACTTCGCTTGTACAATCTTTAGACATCTGCTCACTACCGAATACACTGGTTTCTGTCCCGTTTTTTCGGACTACCGCCTTTTTTATTATGTCACGACCCCACTACTCTGGCATTGCTACCACCAACAGTGTTGCTATTTGGCGATCCAAAAATTGCCTTAAGTTTAACATGATAAATTTTATTTTAATTATTTTACAACAAACTTTACACTCGCATATTTAAATTTTTGTTCGACGTGCCCTTTTTTTTTTAATGTCAAACTTTTTTAATCATGCTATAGTAGAGTATGAAACCTTTTCACCATTTACAAAATGCAATAAAGGATTTAACGCCAGAACAAACATGAAAAGGTAAAGATTTAAGCTCGACTAAGCTTCATATGTGAAAGCTCTCCGACGTATGATCCTTTCGTTCAGCGCTAAGCCATTATATTGTTAAGAATTCTTTCTTGAGCTTTCGTGGCGTGCGAGTGTAATCAAAGCTTTCGTTTGAGTATGAAAGCTTTGTCAGCGTGGAAGCTTGTTAATTAGAGATATATAGAGAGTTTTCTTGTTGGCTTTTGTGTAATAAAATACTTTGGCATTTAAAAAATATATTTATAACCATTTTTAAAACTATTTTAAGACTTAAAGTACCTAATAATATAGTGCGAGTCAGGGACTTTTTTTGTAATGTCAGATGGGTCAACGACCTCACAGTTCTAGTATTAAGTGTCACGATAATGATAACAATAGTATTTCAGTATACCAATAGTATTTCTAAAAATCAAAAGCAAAACTTTTACTGGTGGTAGAATTTCTTGTAAGCCGCGAAGCAGTAATGGGTTCCGATTTGGATAATGACAGCCGTTGTATAAATAAAACTGAGACTTCAAACTCATGTTTCAAGATGGGTGATGGCATTTTCGTTATTTATAACCTCAATAATATAACAACCACTTAACACCAGGTGGGCTGTGAGCTCGTCATCACATATAAGCAATAAAAAACAAGATTTAAAGAATTTCTTATGTTAATTAATGGCCTTCGATACAAAGATTAATATGATTTTTAATTATTAAAGTATTACGAACAATTACCAAGAATAGCAATAATAGAAGAAATAATTTAAACTAATGCAAATGTTTTTCTCGATAAACCATTGGTCCGAATGTTGTTGCTTGCTTGCTTAATCTATACTAATCTACAGTGGTTTTTACAGATGTTCCGTTATAATTACTGAACCATGCATCCGATTGACTTGAAACTTTGTATCCGTGTAGAAAATACATGTACTAAATGGATAGGCTAATATTTATATGAGTGTTGGACTCCCTACACCAGTTGCGGGGGCGTTAATGATGAGAATTGTGGGGGTGAGAATAAATAATGTTAATTTTAAATGCCCAGCGAAACGGACGGTTACAGCTAGTATGCAAATAAATGTCTTTGTCAAATATTCTGTATGCTGTAACTGTACCCGCTATAAGTTAAAAATGAAAAATCATGGTCGTTGTACTTCCAATTTCGGGGCGAAGAATAACAAATCTAATGCGAACGAAACCAAAGAGCACATGTAGTATGTAACACAATAAATACAAGATCAATTACTAGATTAAGAAGTTATTGGATTATCATTGGTCAAGCGAACCTAATCAAACTGGAACATCGATTTAGTTCATTGCCTTTTGATTGACGTAAATCAGTATTAATAATCTTGAAAAGGAAAAGGAAAATCTAATAACAATAAAACCATCTTATTTGAGGTTCGAGAATCTTCCGCTTAATCGAAATGACGGGTAAAGTAACCTGAATGGTTGATTCACCCTTCAAGTTAGCACGCATGTTTGGCTCGCAGCAGAAGTAGGCATAGAAATAGAATAATGGTGTTTACATTAGCGGCCTTACAATGTGATCCGCCACCAGAAAATTGCCTACAGGTTTAGTGCAATTCTATATTAGGAATAGCCGATACTCAAAATCACTTAAAAAGTAGTGGAGAGGGCTGAGCTTGGAGTTTTCCTATAAGATTGATTCAGGAATGAGGGGATTTACTGGTGGTAGGACCTCTTGTGAGTCCGCGCGGGTGGGTACCACCACCATGCCTATTTCTGCCGTGAAGCAGTAATACGTTTCGGTTTGAAGGGTGGGGCAGCCGTTGTAACTATACTTGAGACCTTAGAACTGATATCTCAAGGTGGATGGCGCATTTACGTTGTAGATGTCTATGGGCTCCAGTAACCACTTAACACCAGGTAAGCTGTGAGCTCGTCCACCCATCTAAGCAATAAATAAAAAAAATATTCGCAGAAGAACCAAGATAGCTATCAAGGGCCTAATTATTGCAAAATTCAAGACACCGCACTTCTTTGTAGGATTCTTTGCAGGGTACATTGCTCAAAGAACATATAGCCGTTGGGGCTATAAAGTGGTGACCGTGGTTTGGAAAGCGCTGCGTGGGTTAGGCCTCCCACGAGATGGGTTGACGAACTGCTAAAAGCCGCGGTAGCCCACTGGATGCGGGCTGCGCAGAATCGGTCAATATGGCGAACCTTGAAGAACGCCTATATCCAGTAGTAGAAGTCTGTGTTCGGATGAGACGCCCACAGAGTTTCTCGCTGGATCTTCTCAGTGGGTAGCGTTTCCGATCCGGTGGTAGATTCTGCGAAGCACGGCTCTTGCTAGGGTTTGTGTTAGCAACGTCGTCAGGTTTAAGCCCCGCGAGCTCACCTACTAGTTAAGGTTACGCTGAAATAGCCTCTCAAAGCTCTCTCTTAGGTAGGATAAAAAAAAAACGATGAGACCGACGACGAATCAGTACTAGGCGCCCATCAAGGGGAAAGACTTCGTTACCTCTCAATGATCCCTAGAGTGGTCACACCGATATTTAACAGACTTCGAAAAAGGCTTTACTCAATTAGGGATGTTTGTTTAAATACTCAATCAAGTTAACGATTTATAAGAACCGAGAGCTTTCATCAAAAAAAGTTCAGAGAAGCAAAAACTACTTAAAGTAAATTGAAGTGAGCGTTTTGAAAGCTTCGTAAAAAGCTCTGAAATAGATCAAAGAACAAACAGAATCACTCGGAACATTAAGTTATTTGTAAAAGTTTCTCCTTTATTCTCATTTCATTAACGTAGAACTTCCGAGTTTTCTGTTACCCAATTTCCTGAGTCTTATGAACGCTGCTGCTTATGTAGAGCCATATTGGGACCACTGCTTTATCTTTGCTATCCGAAATTTCCAAATGGTCTCTATATGGTACTAATCCGTGTGGTAAAATACTCTGCGAGTATGACTCGACCGCGGCTCTAGATGCTGTCCAAATTGTCGTAGGCTGTCTATTTTTGCGATTGATTAGCCGAACAAATTCCCCAAGACCTTTCAACGATTTAACCCTTAAAGCCGTTAATGCTTACTGATGTTAGGGTATGTTATGAGATCAATAGCTACTTAGCCAAATGATTTATACAATATTATTATATTATCCTAGATCTATATATTTTTATTTTGTACCTTAGACCGTCACAAATGTTTATTTTTTTAACAAATAATTTTCTTTGTTACAGGGGCTTGACCCCAGCGTGAACCTCACGTTGAATGCTTCAGCGAAACAGCTTATTGAGGCTTCAAAAGGCATCCAAGACCCAAACATACTCCTGGAGAAGTTTTCTCAGAATCGAAAAGTCGACGACCCAACGAGATCCTTACTGATAGCGTTTTATATCATCCTGGTCGTGATCGGAGCTGTGGGGAATGCACTGGTTATATTATCTGTAAGTAGATGAACAAAGGATTTTAGGCTTAAAGTTTATGATTACTAGCACTCATAGAGATGGAAGTCCCAATTACACTGGAATAGTCTCAATTACACTGGAATTGGCGGTGTGGTCATGTAAATACCCCACACGCTTTACGGTGGTAAGACCTCTTGTGAATCCGCGCGGTTAGGTACCACCACCCTGCCTATTTCTGCCGTGAAGCAGTAATGCGTTTCGGCTTGAAGGGTGGGGCAGCCGTTGTAACTATACTGAGACCTTAGAACTTATCTCAAGGTGGGTGGCGCATTAACGTTGTAGATATCTATGGGCTCCAGTAACCACTTAACGCCAAGTGGGCTGTGAGCTCGTCCACCCATCTAAGCAATAAATAAAAAAAAACACGCCAATTTTCGTCTAATTTTTGCTCCACATATTATTTCTTCATCGTTAAAGGATCAGATGTGATATGTTTACTCAGAAACTTTTATAGCTAGCACAGTATGTAATCTCGAATACAATAGCATACGCAATCAGATACAAGTACACCGAGAAATACATCAAATAGTATACAATAGCCATCCATACATTGTCATATCGTGTGAATTAGGTAAAGATCTGACAGGAGGATACTTCGAGTGTGGACAAACAGTAGCTTGCTCGGCTAATTGGCTTGGGCTTTTATAACTAATTTCAAGTTTATTCTTAATTTACTTGCCGAGGCTGTGAAGATATGCGATAAAAAACAAGTGTCTTGGACCCCACGTAATATATTAGGCTACACACACGGATTCAAATTGAAAATCATTAAAATTAAAAGTCGTAACACAGTTCCAATGTCAAAACAACCACCGACTCCAATAAGAGCCAGCGAGCTCCTGTTTCCATCCTTTTAAAATTAGACTAATTACATAATTACAACAGCAGAGATAAAATAAAAAGACACATTATATGAAAGTGAATGTCTAATATGATTAAGGGAGTCACTTTTTTTATTATTAATGACAACATCAAACAGCATCATACCACAGATACCTACGACATACGTTTGGAGCCTCCAGATCTACGGAGGGACTTTGTTTTTCTCTGAATGTTCCACGGGGAGTGCTCTGAGGAGCTGTTGGAGACGATCGCACCGCCCGCCATCGGAAGCAGAGTTCATCCATACTAATTAGAACTACTGCATTCAATGATAGTGCCTTTCCAGAGATTTTTCTGCCAAGTACTATCAGGCTTTGAAATGAACGTTCCTCCACGCTGTTTCCTAATAATTTCCCCATCAGGGACAGTAACCATTCACCCTCAGAAAGGCCATATGCTCGTCAGGCTACAAGAGCAATAAAAAAAATTACCGCCAGCCGACTAAAAGTTTTCAAACGCCTCAGTCCTTCCCCGTGAGTTTTACGCAGGTTTTTATTATGTTTTCCTGGTTGTTAGATTCGGTACATTTATTTTTGCGGCAGAATTTACTACTGACCTTTATTAAAACAAGGAAATACCATGGACGTTGCAGTAAAGGTTATTACGTCATCATTCCGTTGTGGACTTTTCATAAGCAGAAAATGTGGTTCCCAAGGGATATTAATTTTGTTTTTATTGTAGTACTGGGCAAAAGTAATAACCTACTTCTTGGTAGGATTTTTATGGCCACTACAAGGCGAATTTCAACATTCTTGCTGTAATAAATACACAATATTATAACCAGACTCGCTTCTGACACCATTTGAAGACATTTTTGGGCTTCACAAAATGTCTTACGTAAAACCGGTATAGATGGGCACAATAGGTTTTGGCTCCTGTTATACATATCACACGATAGTATTTTCAGAACTGTTTTATAAGCCAGAACGCAATCTTCTAGGTAATTTAAGAAATTTTATTGTAAGCATTTTGACTATCTCATAATGACCCATACCACCTGCCAATTGAGTATCTTCGATTGCGAATGTCCAATGAATGATTACAGCACTGTTATAAGCCATTCATGAACAATTAATAAGTACGTGTCTACTTAAACAAGGTATCATCTGCTGCAACTTTCAAACTACGAAACCATCTCACCCTTTAGGTCATGAAGGATTCTAATAAAATTACTAATTCTCTTACTAGTGGTAGGACCTCTTGTGAGTCCGCACGGGTAGGTACTACCACCCCGCTTATTTCTGCTGTGAAGCAATAATGCGTTTGGGCTTGAAGAGGGGCAGCCGTTGTAACTAGCTATACTGAGACCTTAGAACTTATATCTCAAGGTGAATGGCGCATTTACGTTGTAGATGTCTGTGGGCTCCAGTAACCACCAGTAACAACCAGGTGGACTGTGAGCTCGTCCAACCATCTAAGCAATAAAAAAATTTCAAATTTTTTGTGGTTTTACTGACAACCACAATAGTTAGAGCCCAGATTTCATTAGAAGCAAATAAAAGAGATAAACAATCGAATGTTTTATCAAGGTCACCAATTCCCTATCAGTATACGCCCCCTAATATTAAATTCTAAACGAAATCAAACACTTTTTTAAAACATATGCTTGGTTATTTCATAGTGCATTTATTTTGTCTAATGGGATATAGCTTTCAGTTTTTGGCTAAAAGTAGTATTACAGCAAAACATACCTCTATATGTGCAAACTCGTTTGGAATCTCTAAATCTACGGATTGCTCTGAGAATTTGTTTCAAATAAGTACGTCACCAGAGCACTACCGTCAGAGAAATCTATTTCTACCTTAAACCAATTCGTTCATCTACAGTCAGAGATTAATTCTATGAGTCATCCAACTTTGGAATGAGCCCCCTTCTACTGTGTTTCTAACTTTGAAATGAGCCCCCTTCTACGGTGTTTCTTGCTTTGGAATGAGCCCCCTTCTACAGTGTTTCTTGCTTTGGAATGAGCCCCCTTCTACGGTGTTTCTTGGTTTGAAATGAGCCCCCTTCTACGTGTTTCTTGCTTTGGAATGAGCCCCCTTCTACGGTGTTTCTTACTTTGGAATGAGCCACCTTTCTACGGTGTTTCTTGCTTTGGAATGAGCCCCCTTTCTACGGTGTTTCTTGCTTTGGAATGAGCTATCACATACCTTACTATAATCGAAGATCGAGGAGAACATTAAGCGTCAGAAACTGGCTTGGCTATACCCTAGTATTATAGCCGTATAAATTCTAAAGCAATAAAAAGGAATTCCAATACACATTTTAAATATAACCACTTCATCAAAAATATCTAAGACCACTTAATAGCATTAAGATGCTTCAACAAGTGTTCCGAACAATCAAAAGTTAAGAGGTAGCCAACTTTAAGCTCAGTAGCTCTTTAAGTATAAGAATATAAGCGAACGTTCACTTATGTTCAGTATTTCTTATTGCTTTACTTGAAGAATTAGAGAGAACTCGTGAATTCCGACTACATTCGCTTATCATCGATTTCTATGAATTTTCATCAATAACATCTTCAGCACTATTATCTACTATAGAATCTTTTTACAAAAAAACATGATGCAGAAAATCATAAAGAAAATTCTCAAAATAAACTTTACCAAGAGCTCAACCAAGCATAATAATAATATATTCAAGCTAATTTTTATTTATTTACTAGCGGGTCCGACAGACGTTGTCCTGCATACACAAAAATCATTCATGTCTATCCAGCCGTTTAGTTGCAATATAGATAAATAACCTAGATATCGACTGCAGCACCATCTGCCAGGCTGATTTGTAAATCTAAACTATCCAGGGCGCTATCCAAATCGGTCCAGCCGCTTAGGAGGAGTTCAGTGACGAACACACGCACAGAAGCAATATATATATATATATATATAGTTATATTATATTTACTAGCTGACCCGGCAGATTTCGTAGTGTTTCAATCGATAAATAAAAGACCTAAACTTTTGTGTAAAATAAACTTAAAACAAACAAAAGGAATCCGTCCGACAAGGGACACATCAAAAGAAAAACAAAATTGTTATTTTTATATAATTCTGTGCATTTTCATATTTATCTACAATTTAAATCTTCTCTGGACTTCCACAAATAATTCAAGACCAAAATTAACCAAACCGGTCCAGCCGTTCTCGAGTTTTAGCGCGACTAACGAACAGCAATTAATTTTTATATATAAGTATATAAGATGAAGATTTAATTAGACGAAATGCATAAAATTTCACAGAACTTACAGTATTAAAAAAATCCACCTGTTGATTAGTTAGGACAAAACCTAGTCTTATCGTGAAATGACCCTCCTTCTTTGACCTAAGCGCTCAGAGATAAAATTAAATCAATATATTAATACGTGAAGCAAAAATTTTGTATCCCTTTTTACGAAAATTGCGCGGACGAAGGAGTATGAAATTTTACACACTTATAGAGAATATAGAGAAGAAGTGCACAATGTTAATATTTTTTTTAAATAATGCATAAAAGATACATTAAATCAATAAAGAAAACATTACGCACACTACATACCATGTATTTGACGCACACATAAAATACAATCATAATAGTGTACAAGCTTAGAATTCCAATTAATTATAGTCGAATTTCGACTACTGCGGGACCTCTAGTAATCATTATATCTTGACGTTTGACGCATCGATTACAATATCATACTAAGGCTACAGATGTCTGAATTTGAGATCTGTTCTTCAAACTCAATCGGTTGCTTATTTTCTGTATGGATTTGTAGACTTCAGTACTTAAATTTCGTCAAGACGTTCTCCTGTTTGCGGAACTATACAGGTGTGATCTTATAATTAAAATAAAAAGATGTGTATAGTTAGAAATTTATTCATTTATCAAGGAACTTGGGTAGCGGGAACATACTGTTACGCCGCTAAGAGTAACGCCATCTGTCTTCGAATAGCAGAAACGAATATCAAAAGAACTAGTAAAATCGAGAACGCTTGAGAACTGCAACGCCATCTATTATCAAATAGCGGAAACAAATACCGAAACGACTCGCCCTATCGGGAATGTTCTCGATAATTGTAGAGTTGTAGTATCCATTATAAGAGCGTTGCAGAGATTATACGAAGGCAGTCTATCCCGAACCGTACCTTTACTAGTACGTAACATTATTCTTGTCGAAAGATTGAACAGTGTGAATAAAGCATACACAAACTCAGGAAAAAAATATACGTATCATATAGGAACTTGAAAGGTAGCAAGCAGATAGTATCGGCACTGCTCAACAGCAACAACAGCCTTCACCTATCCTGCTTTAACAGAAGAAGAAATCTAAATTAAACTCTGACTTCTTTGCAGGTGGTGCGAAAGCCGGTCATGAGAACAGCAAGGAACATGTTCATCGTCAATTTAGCCGTGTCCGATGCTCTGGTCTGCGTGGTCGGAACCCCGCTGACTCTCATGGAACTCCTGACCAAGCATTGGCCGTTACCGGACTGGCCAAGTTTGTGCAAGGCGTGTGGCGCGATCCAAGCTATATCGATCTTCGTGTCCACTATATCCATAACTGCCATTGCCCTTGATCGATATCAGGTAATCTATATATATAAAAATGAATTGCTGTTCGTTAGTCTCGCTAAAACTCGAGAACGGCTGGACCGACTTGGCTAATTTTAATCTTTACTTATTTGTGGAAGTCCAGAGAAGGCTTAAAAGGAAAAAAAAAATGAAAATGTTCGGAATTAAAAAAAAATTACAATTTTGTTTTCCCTTTGACGTGTCCCCGGTCGGACGGATTCCTTTTGTTTGTTTTAAGTTTATTTTATATAAAAGTTTAGGTATTTTATTTATCGACTGAGGCACTACGAAGTCTGCCGGGTCAGCTAGTTAGTGAATATAATGTTGGAAGAGTGAGAGAAATTATACAAATACTAGCCGTACTCGCCCGCTCCGCTGAGCATTTAAATTTAACATCATTAGTTATTGTCATTATTATTAGGGATTCCAACACTCATATTAGCCTATCCATTAAGTACATGTATTTTCTACACGGATACCAAGTTTAAAGTCAATCGGATGCATGGTTCAGTAGTTATAACGGAACATCCCTAAAACCACTGTAGATTTATACATTAGTATATATTTCTGGTCATGCATGTTATTGAGTCATAATATATTTCAGGTCATGCATGTTATTGAGTCATATTATGTTTTTAAAATACCATATCACCATATCACGCAAATAGTCACAGATAATATCAACCGCGATCGACAGTATAGATTCAAAGTCAATTGTAAAATGCTGTTCTGAAACACCAGTGTAATACAGAAAAAAACGAGACAGTACTGGTGGTAGGACCTCTTGTGAGTCCGCACGGGTAGGTACCACCACCCTGCCTATTTCTGCCGTGAAGCAGTAATGCGTTTCGGTTTGAAGGGTGGGGTAGCCCGTTGTAACTATACTGAGACCTTAGAACTTATATATCAAGGTGGGTGGCGCATTTACGTTGTAGATGTCTATGGGCTCCATCAACTACTTAGCACCAGGTGAGCTGTGAGCTCGTCTACCCATCTAAGCAATAAAATAAAAAGAAAAATGATTAAATAAGATAAGATGTACATAAAGTTTCTATAAATAAATCTCTACAACTAAGTTGGCCGATCGATTTGACTTTATTCGATCGTTAGCAAACTTAACCGCTGGGCCTAAGGGATGGTAAACACGGTCGTGGGGCCATCCGCTGATAAAGCGCAGGTCGGCCGGATCGTGAACCCTGTGTAGCAGTTTGATCTCACAGCCCTTTTTTATTGCAATGATGAGTGGACGAGCTCACAGCCCACCTGGTGTTAAATGGTTACCGGAGTCTATAGAAATCTGCAAGGTAAATGCCGCCACCCACCTCGAGATATAAGTTCTAAGGTCTCAGTATAGTTACAACGGCTACCCCACCCTTCAACTCGAAACGCATTACTGCTTCACGGCAGAAATAGGCAGCGTGGTGGTACCTACCCGTATGGACTCGCAGGAGGTCCTACCACCAGTAAAACGCCCTAAACCGAAACTAAATAATGAAATTTTAGCAATTCGATCTCTCACCACGCGAACTGTATCCATTTATCTTTGAGTGTTGTAATGAACCCAACACTACAAATTGATAAGGCCCACTCGATATTGTTGATAAGTGACGGCTATAAACTCTGCAATAACATATGTCATGTGTGACGGCCGTAAAATTTGTGTTCTCCCGGTGGTTATTTTACGAGGTGGATCGTTAAATGTATTGTAGACGTATTACTCTAAAGTATTATGTAGTAAAACTGAAACAAAATAGAAAAATAGCAACTTAAAAAAGACTAAGACCTCATATCTTAGGAGGTATGATCCACGACCCGGAAAAAAGGGCTCATAGGTATTCTAGTTGCTTTATCTCGCTGTCCATCACTTAATCACTTAACATCAGGTGAGTCATGAGCTCGTCTGCCGTTTTATAGCTACAGAAAGGACATTAAAATTTTAGTGAGTCATGAATCAGCAGGATCATGTTTTATTGACCGGCTAATTTAAGTGGCATCACTTACTAAATACAACCTTCTGTAGACAAAGATGAAATTATAAAAACTCTAACTATTGTCCTCAGTTGATCGTCTACCCCACCAAACCTGGCGTTCAAACAATAGGAGCGCTCGTCACTATGTTCTTCATCTGGGTGACAGCATTCATCCTTGCTTCACCCCTCTACATCTTCCGAAGCCTCAAAACGCACAAACTCGGCATCGCCGGTATCAGCTCTCTAAGTTTCTGCATAGAAGACTGGCCTATCACTGACGGTAGAGCCATATATTCTCTCCTAAGCCTGATATTTCAATATCTTCTACCGGTTTTGGTCGTCGTGATGGCCCACATTCAGATACATAGAAGACTGCGAGGCCGAAGAAGGACCACGAGGAAAACGCCAGCAATATTAATAGCCATAGCAGTTACGTACGTCATAAGCTGGCTACCACTTAATGTATTTAATCTGGTGGCTGACTTCAGTTCGGCGCCCTTTAAGGACGAGAAGACTATGACGGTTACTTATGCTGTTTGCCACATGTTTGGCATGTCGAGTGCCGTTTCGAATCCTTTACTCTACGGATGGTTAAACGATAATTTCCGAAAGGAATTCGAAGAGATCCTGACGAAGTGCTGCTGCAGGAAGAAGCCTTTAGTTAACGGCACGAGGACTACTAATCGGAGGATGGAGACGGAATTGACTGCGCTGGCACAGTTGGAGCATACCGTGACCGGGAACACCAAGACGTCGCAGTGCTCCCAGGTTTTCTGACTAAAAGCTTGCTGCAAATAACACGAATCTTCCAGCTTAGAGATGCAGAGCATCTGAACTGATGTTCCATATAAGACTTTAGTGTTAAACGTGTAAAAAGTTCCTTGTTAAAACAGTTTTAGTGTTAATGTGTAAATAAATGTATTTTTATGTAAATAAGTCATTATGATTAGATTTGAAGTAATATTGTACTTGGCGTTTTAATGAGCCCAAAACGTGAAGTACTGAAATATTGCTAATATAAATAACGATATAATGTACGAAATAAGCACTTGATGTTTAAGTTTTGTATATAAATAAACTCTTTGATGATTAGAAAATAATTTGTTCTTGTATTTATTAATCCCTCTGTCTTTCGTTCAGTGGAAGTTTTTGACGGAATTAATTTGATAGAAACTGTTTAAGAAGCTCAAAAGCTTTGACAAGCTCAAAATTGCGCACTCATGTCTTGAAGGTTAAAACGCGTAGCTTATTAATGTCGATAGCAGCTTTGTATTTTACTAAAAAAAATTACCGAATATTTAAGTAAAAAATAAAACTAAAAATAATTTTCAATTTACGTACATGCGTAAATGCTGATGGCAGAGTGTTGTATGCTACCATCCTTCCTAATTTTGGCTCGTTAAAATAACGAGTTCTTGTTTGAAGCGTGAAGAAGTTATTGCGACAGAATACAATTGACAACTCTTATCTCATGGTAGGCTATGATCACTAGTAACCATTAAACATTCAGAGTGACCATGAAATAGTCCATCAAGATATTTTATACCAAAAAAACAAATATGTGAGCCGTCACGGGACGCCTGGCAGATGTGAAACATCGACATTATTTTGTAAAACTAATATGCAGAAAAGAACAGATTGTGATAGGAACTAAATATGTCATAATGATAAAATAAAATATTACGAAAAAATAATTTGTTTTCAAGTAAAACACAAGTTAAGTGTACTGTAGTAAGTAACACTGTATACACTACGGAGTATACACTATAGATATCCGAGCACAGTGTAGCGAGAGAGATGGCTTAGCGCCGGATCGAGTGGGAGAGAATCGCACAGTCGATTGCGCATGGCGACGGGTCGCCACGGCATGCGTCGTCACGCCAGAAATCGGTTTTACGTGCGGCTATAGATGTTTCACATCAAAACAAGACCTAGCGCGCTTATCGCTTAATTGCGTCAATTTAATTAGAAAAAATCATGGCGCGTACCATTAAAACGATACGCAAATAGCATTATTGAACGATAAATAACAAAGATTAATTTTATTGTTCGCATAAGCTGAAGTCCGGAATATTCCATCAAGCAATTCGCTAATAGGTTTCAAGCGCTTTGATAAAGGATACTTACTGAGTTTCAATTTTTTGCTTGTTTTTCCTGGTATAAACTAAAACGGAATATTAAAATAATGGTTCAAATTTAAATGCACTGAAGCTTTATCTCTATAAAATATGTTAAAATCTCTAAAATCACCGATCTTTCTGTATTTTTTTGGTGAGTTTGATTGAAGTTTAATGACATAGCATGCAAGGAATTGATTTTTTTATTACATTATTTCGGCACACCTTGCTGATTTCCATCTGGCTGGCAGAACACCAGTCAGATGGTCAGAACTAGCAAGAAAAGCACTTGGTAGTCTGTACCATGCAGTCCATGCCGCCCATGATCGAACACAGTGGAAGAACGTCATATGTGGTCGCGATCCTCAGTAGTGAGGGAACGATATAGAAGAAGAAGAAGGCTGATTTCAAGCATAATATCACCGTGAATGCCGCCATCTTCATTGAGATTGATGAGGTCGAAGTCTCAACAGAATTGTGTAGACCCAATTTTTTGGTCTTTCTGTAAAAGTTTGTGTCTTTTTTATAAAGATACTATTATAATAAACCCGGTCAGACGTCGCTGTGACCATGCTTAATCGTGTGAAGAACATCAATTTCTTAAAACTATTCTCACATCGTCTACGTTTATAGTATTACGAAGGAATTCTTTACTAGACCACCAACCACAACTGTACCAAGTTTCATTACAATCAGATCTACAGATCAGGAACGCACAGGATATAAACATTGGTCTATTACCATTCATTATATACTTATCCAGCTCCGACACTAAAGCATCTTGTTGATAAGGTAACTTACACTACCATCTATTAGAAACTTTAAGCTCACAGATAACAAAAATCTTCAAACAAACAATTTGCAACAACAAAAATGTGTAACCATACATTGAGATAAAAACTATACTTTCTTTCAAGTTAGAACAAAGCACGCATTTTCCAAAAAAATACGTTAAAATTGTAATATATTTCGTTTCAGAGTTCACCCGGGACAAACAACTAAATTAAAAAAAATCGTGTGGCACAATGACATATTTTGTCATGACGAATTTAAGCTCATCTACCTTCGTTGACAATAAAACCGACAAATAAATCTTAACTGATCATCTCCAAGTGAAAATTATATTTTAGTGATTCCCCAACAGTCGATAACAATAGATTTAGAGGCAATTAATCCAGATCCAGGAAGGCCATTTCCTCCGGAGTTGATGTTTCTTTTTGGGAACAAGACGAAGCACGAGCTGGAGATTGAAGAGTGCATGGTGGAGTTTGCGGAATGTGTGGCAATTAAGGCTTTCAGGTAAGTTTATAGGTATTGTAACGCGCTGGGGTTCGAGATACATAAAAATTCTACCGAAGTACAAATTAAAACTCTATTTAACTTAGAACACATAACGAACTCTTCAAAATTCTCAATTCACTTCTTCCGCTTCGCTTCAGGTGATCCATTGGCTGTTTCGCTTCAAGTAATTCCGATTACTAACTGACTTCGTGTCGTGGGGTCGTCGCGTCCCCTTGCGGGGGCGCGGAGCGGGCCTCGGGGAAACCCCTCTGCCCGGACATGCTGACTTCGTGCCATTTCTGCAACGCTTTTATAGTCGATACGACATCCCTAGATTTATCGAGAACATTCTGGGCAAGTCGAGTAGCTTCGAAGTGTGTTTCCGCTATCAGACAGTAGATGGCGTTGTACTTCTCGACCGTTCTCGACGTTACTAGTTCCTTTGATATTCGTTTCGGTTATTCGGCGATAGATGGCGTTACTCTTACTGGCGTAACAGTATCTTTCTTCATCTAACTAATGAATCTATTGTACCATGAGATCTAACTTCAAGTCCCGATAAATGTCAGTATATCTGTGATAATTATTTGGTATTTAAAGAATACTCGTTTTTCTCCTAGGTAAATATTGGTTAGACTTAGATCGTTGATGGGGTAATAAGGCATCTATGATTTAAAGGATAAGAAGCCTTATGTAGGCGTAGTCATGCTTTCATGCCATTTCTACATCCTGGACCACGTATCTATTTTACCATAAAGTAAAATAATGTTACGCGCTGGGGCTCGGGATAAATAAAATTTCACCAAAGTACAACTCAAAACTGCATTTCACTTAGAACATTTAAACACTTCACAAACACTTTAAAACTCTCAATTAGCTTGTTCCGCTTCGCTTCATGTGATCCGTTCGCTGTTTCACTTCGAGTAGTTCCGATTGCTGACTGAGTGCGTGCCCTCCCTGCAACGCTTTTATAGTCGATACCTCATCCCTAGAATCATCGAGAGTATTCCACACATCTCTAGTATTATTTCTGCTATCTGACAATAGATGGTGTTATACTTCTCGAACGTTCTAGGTGCTACTAGATCCTTCGATATTCGTTCGACTATTCGGCAATAGATGGCGTAACAATAATAAAAAATTCTAAAAATCATTTATTGCCTTTCACACAGATTTAGATTCATACATTTAGATAAACAAAAAAGGCAAAAGTAATAGTAACCGATTTAAAAGGTAGCATGGCCATCATTTTGATAGCCATGATAAGCCTATGTTTGACCTAATGTCTCAAGATGGATATTGGCGATTCTCCGAGTACCAGTTAAAGATTCGATGGACGTGCCCTAGTGTCTATGAAGGTCACGTCACCTCCGTTATAACGCTCTATCAGGCTTGCCTTTGAATACGAAAATCGAATATTGTATTATATTTTACGAGCACGTATGACGCTGTAGGGAATGACAATTTTCTTGACGATTGTACAAGTATAATATGTACGTGATATAAAAACTGCTTCCTATTTAGAGACAGTTATTTGAAATAATAGTATACTTAGTCAAATTAGAGGCAAAAGTACTGAATATTCTAGCAGTAGATACAGTTAGTATGATCGCAGTGAAATCTTCTAGGCAAAAACCGATTTGCGCAGAAGATAGAACACAAGCTAAAAAACTCTTTTCCAGCTTATGCGAAATGTCTTATGAAAATTGCAGATCATCGGGTAAGTACATTCTAATATTATGATGCCTTTGCATGTTCTATACAATCAGATTGGATAGGGAAGGCTTTGCAATATTAGAAGTCCATAGACATCATAGTGTGTGTGTGTGTTTTTTTTTCTATTTTTAGATATGTGAACGAGCTCACAGCCCACCTGGTTTTAAGTGGTTACTGGAACCCATAGACATCTACAACGTAAATGCGCCACACACCTTGAGATATAAGTTCTAAGGTCTCAGTATAGTTACAACGGCTGCTCTACCCTTCAAACCGAAACGCATTACTGCTTCACGGCAGAAACAGGCGGGGTGGTGGTACCTACCCGTGCGGACTCACAAGAGATCCTACCACCAGTATAAGGCAGAAGTGTCTGTAATATAGTACCTAAGTTATATGTGGCTGTCCTTAAATCATTGGGATAAATGGATATTCACGCATGTTGGAACATAACACACATTCAATATTTACTTTAGATACTTGCACGGCTTAAAACAGTTAAGGTGAGCAATCTTTCCTCAATTAATTGCCCTTAGTCAGGCTTTCACTTGTTACCGAAAAACACATAGACGAGAAAGTAGCAAATACAGTCAATTCACAAACATGTACTAAATAACTTTAAAAAAATCGGGTATTGATTTCTACTAGAAAATTGCAAACTAGTTCTGATGGCAAGTTGGGTCCGAACATTAAATTAGCTAGAGCATTAATTTATTAATCTATTACTTACTTTCTTAACATTGTATTTTTTTAAATAACTT